CTCTGGCACAAGCTCTGACGTTTCCCTGACCATAAACCCGCTCCTGCATTAATTGTCCAGCGTTGGTCATGTGCATTTGCGTATGCCGCCTATTGTGATCGAATGAACAACTGATGTATATTTCATTATGTTTAGCTAACCAGTTGGATAGAAGTGCAGTTTCCCCTATGTTCGTTTATCCTATTTTATCAAGGCTTTCACAAGCTAGTACTTGTCATAATTTTCTTTATAATTGTAGATGCTTGAAGTGATTTATCGAAAATAATATTCTTCGCACAGTTGTTACTTTCTATTCTCATGGGAATAATTTATGAACCTTATCGGTTACATTGGTTAGGCCATGTCCTCCGTATACCCGTTGATCGGCTTCCTCGGCATGCATACTACACCGTGACTGCGTCACTTTGGGCGAAACCGCGAGGTGGTCAGTTCATGACGTCTCAGAGGCATATGGAATCTGACTGAGAGAGTTGGTCAGGCTAGTGCTTACCGTCTTCGCGAATAGGGACCCCGGGATGGTCCACACCAACGATTGGAGACCGTATTGGCCACGGCGCAGTTACGCAGTCAGTGACGTTCCTGCTTTCGGTTTCTTGCATCTGGTTGTTCTTTTTTGTTCCTTTCTGATTACTTTACTGCAGTTCTTTCTCACTTCCCTTTTCTTTACACTGTTTGCCTTTATCCGCGCTATCTTGACGTTGTTGTTTATTGCTGTTCTTGCGATGTGAGTCGTGGCAACTGGGTCCACCACACTTCGGTGCTCTGATCATTATTGTTCAGCTTAACTCTACTTAACTGACTTTATTTCTTCGCGAGTCACATCCCCCACCTCGCACTGTTAATCTGACTTTTGGGACAATCTATGGGGAGAACGCTTGACAAGCAAAACATTTCTCGTCATAAAACACTGCCGCCAAAGCGTTCACCGGAAGTGGAAATTTTCGAACCGCCCAGTTAACACCACGGGAATGTTGTTCGGCAAGCCGACCTTCCTCTACCGAAAAGTTTCGTTTACCGATAATTTGGTGGGCTGCATCAATGCCCTACCATTCGTGTTTTCACTAACCTACAAGTTACGAACCTTTACCTTCCATGAATGTTTTCTGTCCATTCTGCGATTCCAAGTTGATTATCTGTTCAGTGCGTTTCATCTGCCATGGAATGATTTTCCGGGCTACATGCAAAAAACTGGATTATTCAGATATCCATCCACTGTTCGGCGACTCAGTCTAGTCGGACCAAACTGTTCTGATGTTTTTCTGCAATATATCGGTACTGGGGCCCATTTTGTTCCTATTTCATATCAGCGAAGTGTCGCAGCTTATTTGGTCGCCCTGCACATTATTTGCAGACGACCTGAAGATTTGGAGGATTAGTGGTTCTTTTGGTGACTGCGATGTCCTCCAGCAGGACCTCGATGCCCATCCCGGTGATCTGCAGAAGTTGACCGACCAGTCAACCCGGCCAACTCCTCCTTTATGAGCTTGGCTAGGGGTGCTAAAGGGCGTACGTACACCCTGGCCGGCATGCCGCTGCATCCTATCAGTCCCGTAAAGGATCTAGGCGTACTCTCATGCTGTGATCTGAAGTCTATCGACAACACGAACAGACTGTACGCAAACGGACTACACCTGCTTTTGACACTTGGACGCAGCTTTCGCACTTGGTCTGAAGAAATTGTCACCCGTCTGTTCTCTTCCATAATAAGCGTTGCTTGAGTACGGCTCATCTGCCTATTGCCCGATCAGAATAGGTGAGGTGCAGAGACTAGAACGGGTCCAGCATGTAGCTACCCGGCTCATCCCCAGTTTACGGGGTATATTGTACGAGGACCTTTGATATCGTCGGCTTCGAGTTGATCTCATAATGATGTACCGGATGCTGCACATGGCCACTTCCCTATGTGGAAGCCGCTGCTGCACGTTCGCGCACCAAGCACCAAATGCGGACACCGGTGCAAACTAGTGGGACCGAATTTGAAGCGTATCGCTCACCCTCTGTGCTTCGACCTTCGAGTGGTGAAATATCGTAACAAACTGCCGGAGACGCTAGTCGAGGCGTAATCGGTGTCGGAATTTAAGAAATTCCTTGACACCTACTTTGCGGACTACAGGTATAGGAAGGGTATTGCACCCGGATAAGATGTAGTGCAGCTGCAGTATGCTGCCACTGCTCAGGAATCAGCAGCGTGATTCCGCGCATGTGCCCGATCCACCTAAGATGGAACTCCACAGATTATCCTCTTCTATGGTGAAGGTTGTCATCATCATCATCATTATGCACATCAGCTAGAGGTGGGAAAAACACCTCCGCTATTGTGCCGCAATACATGAAGGAAATACATACATACATACAATACAATACACAAAGGAGAAGTAGATACAACAGTTGCATGCCAGCTGAGCTACCAGCAACGGATAGGCATCGTTCCGGTAAGCTTCCAGCTAGCTACTAGGCAAAAAACACAATTTATTATGTTTTACCCTAGGAAATGAGATTGTAGATGGATGGGGAGGCTAAAAGGGATGGGGAGGGACAAAGAAACTCACAGCATGAACGCCACTGAGGTCGGCTCCTTGCCATGTCAGCAAGTGTATCCAGCCAAACGTGTTCACGGTCTTTTGGACACCAACTAGGGAGCCGTGACGCTCCAAACGAGGCCAGCTCAGAAGTGAGGGACTTCATTTCCCTGGACCAAGTCAGTGCTTGGCCACCTCTCCTCTTCTTCCACCCACATCCCCGGTGAGCAAACAACGCACGTCGCGGGAGTCGGTGGGCTTGCATGCGTAACACGTGGCCGAGTCTTCGGAGCCTGGTGCGTGAAATAACGGTGCTGAGCGGTTCAGTTCCTTTTCCTGGGCCGTAAACAATGCGTCGAACACGCTCGTTACTCACGCGGTGTTCCCACCAGATGTGAGCCAAACTGCGAAGGCACCGATGGTCGAACGTAACTAGCCTCTTCATGTCCGCCGATCTTAGGGGCCAGGTTTCGCAACCGTACAGTAAGGTCGAACGTACCGCTGTATTGTACACTCTACCCTTCATGGCGAGAGTTATGTCGCGCCGCCGCCATAGGTGGCGAAGGTTAGCAAAAGCGCCCCGAGCTTTCGCTACACGGTTCGTGATCTCGTCTTCGATCTCAAGGGCGCTGATACAACTTCCCAGGTAATTGAATTTCTGAACGACTTCTAGCTGATCCCCACCAAGGGTCAGCGCAGGAGGCGATCCCTGCCAATCTTGGAGGAGCGCTTTGCACTTCGATGGTGCAAAGCAAAGCCCGAAGCGGCTGACAGCCAGTGCTAATCTGTCTAGCGCGGCTTGGCACGTCTGGGAGCTGTCACAGATGAGGGCAATGTCGTCAGCATACTCCAAGTCAAGAAGTCCTTCTCCTGGGAGTAGCTCCACACCTTCCAAGTCATGTCCTGTAAATGCAAACTCCATGGCTTCGTCAATAGCGAAGTTGAAGAGGAAAGGTGACAGCGGGCATCCTTGTCTCACACCGCTGGAGATATTAAAGGGTGGCGACAGCTTGCCGTAAGCCCTCACTCTGCCCGTGCTACGCGCATATAATGCTTGGATAATATTTACGTATTTCTCGGGCACACCTTTCCTGAGTAGACAATACCAAAGTGCACATCGATCAACCGAATCGAAGGCACCTTTGATGTCGAGGAACACGACTAGGGTGGGCCGCCAATATGTGTGACGGTGCTCCAACAACTGACGCAAGGTGAAGATGTGGTCAATGCAGCCACGACCACGACGAAACCCGGCTTGCTCTTCGCGAATCTGGCTTTCACGAGCGCCAGTCAGTCTGTGAAGAATTATGGAGGCGATGGAGATCAGACTGATTCCTCTATGGTTGCCGCATTCCGAGCGCGAGCCGCCTTTGAAGATGGGAACAATAACGGAGCTGCTCCAGTCGGTTGGGACAGTCTCCTGCTCCCACAGTTTCACTAGTAATTCATGCAAAGCATCCACAAGAGCAGGGCCTCCGAATTTGAAGAGGGCTGGAGGAAGATCATCTGGTCCCGCGGCTTTGTTCAACTTCAACAGTCCGATCTCACGTTCGACTTCTGAGCGAGAGGGTGGATCCAAAGGGACAGCCCACGGAGCAGGGCGATCAGTGACCGGCGAATCGGACAATTCTAGCCGATTAAATTGCTTTTCAAAATGCTCAGCCCAACGCTCCAAACGTTTTGACAAATTGTGGATAGGCTGTCCACTCTCATCACAAATTGTTTCACTAACACCAGGTCTCCAGGTGAATGTTGTAGTTACTTGTTATCCGGATTACTAACCTACTGTAATGATGCAGCTTGTTTCCCCACTCAAGTATTGTTCTCTTTCTCAACCGCGTTTCACGTTCTACCGGATTGTCAGCTACAGCCCTCGACTGCTTAATTATGAACGATAAGTGTCTATCAGCGTGTGATCACTCTACCTACTGTTATTGGAAATTGGACAGCCCTACCGTTCAGTGATATTGGCCAACAAGTGATGAAACTGCACCCCGTTTTCTGCGTGCTCGGTTACAGCAAGTTTTGACGCGGTTCTCCGTTTCATATCATCTCTACTGTCAGTTGTCCCGCTCAACATACATTTCCACAAGACACTTCTAGTGTTAGTATGCCGTTTATGTGGATTTTATGTCACACATGACGGTATTCGTGTGTTTATTCATTGCTACCCAACTACGGTGGTTCATATTTATTCGTTGATCTTTAAGCTAACCCTAGCTAGCTTCTCAAATCATCATAGTCTTTCGTGAGATCATCCGGGTGATGGCCTATGTATGCCCTGCTTCCACACGCGAACAGCGTATGCACGATCTTATCATTTTACATTGTCTCATATTTTCGGCATTGTATACAGCGAGTCACTTCAGCTTATTCCTCGCGTGGGTTGCGGCCCCCCCCCTGATGTATCACCACACTGTGCGTTCCACGTCGTTATTTTGCGCGACGCCTATATCGCATTAAGTTTTATTCTTTGCTTCAGCCGGACGTCTTCAGTTGTTGCCCACTTGACATCATGACTACAAAGGCATGTGCAACCGCTTCACTCGTTAACATGCATTGCTGTCCCCGGTGCGTACTCCGCTTGTTGCATGGCGACAGCATCAGCAGTTGTAGAAATGTGGTAATCAACGCGAAGGATGCAACACGTGAATCACCCATCTGTCCATTCTGTTGCGGGCTGTTGCATCACCCGTCGTTGTGCACTCTGACGGAGGATTGCGTCCCGAGCGGGGGGATTCCGAACGTGCTGCACTCGATTGTCGCAAAGCTACGCTGTTCAGAGTATGAATTTTCGGCTTGTCAGATCAAAGTGAGGGAACTGGCTTTTATTGCACAACTTTTAGATCAATCAAATGTACGCTGTATTCTTTCTGCCGTTACTAAGACACCAGCTTTTTTTGGAGCGTTTGTTCTAACCTTTCCGTTATATCCTGCAGTCTGGGTTATTCCAATAAAACAAAAGATTTGTCGCTTGGACGCTCGTTCCAATAGAGAGACAATGCTCGCCGATTTTCCGTGATATGTTCCTCTTCCATTTCCCTACAGCAACTCTACGTGGATTGTCTTCCGAATTGTTCCTAGGAAAGGTTCGCTTGATTGTTACTCAGTGGCAAAGCACGCCTGGTTAGTTGCCGGCCATGCTTTCAATTAGTGGGATGATTTGCCTACCCCATTGATCTATTGAGCCCCGCTTTCACTTAAACCACCCTCAACTCTACTTTGTGGAATCAAACTTGGTCGATCTACTTATCCTGTCACCTGTACTTTGAGGATAACATTGAACCAGTGTTACTGATTAATTGCAGAATCGAATGGGTATCTGGCGTCCCTCAGCCAGTCAGCGCTGCATTCGTTATAATTGTTTTCGGCATTTCATTCGCACTGTGACTGCTTTGAGCACTGGTGCTTGTGAACCTCAATCTTGTTGCTCACACGTAGTTATCGAGCATCACACCATATCCTTTTCTATTTCTGCATGCATTCTCCTCAGCTGAAATCCAGATGCCATTATTTACAAGCCGTGATAATTGAAATTCTGCCTTCCTCTGGTCATTAAGAGACTGTACCCATGAAGAAACAGATGTACCTATGATGCATCCTCTTATCAGCCATTAACATGGATATTGCTTTTGGTATATGTGATATGCGTACCCTAAGAGATTTATCCATTTGTATGAAGTCAGAAATAACTCTCATGATCGCTAGTGGGTTCCTTTTCGGTTTTTACACCAACGCTGCGTATATACTGGAATCTAATATCCACAAGTGGGGAGAAACTGAGCCATATGTACAATTGTCACTCCAAAAAGCGTTCGCGCAACATGTTTAGGACTTTCGTTGGGTTAGTAAGCAAACGTAACAGATAAGGTAAAATAGTGTTACGATTCGATGAAATACGAGCGAATAACATTTTAAATTTCGGACGTCTAGAAGAGAAGATAGGTTTTTGTAAGGTCACTACATTGGATGAAATCGGTTATTTATGATCTTAGAACCAAGTTGTTTCAGGCATCAGTGTGTCTAGAAATGATCAAATCTCTTCATGTTAGTGAAACCATCGTTTACTTTACTGGCCGTTGGCTTTCCATCAATACACACTGTTCTCTCAGAGACGCCCAATACTAACTTCTTAATAGAGATCTATCTGGGACTCGGTTAACCTTGTTGACATTAGCTATCGTTGTTTTCCATCGGTCCACCATCGTCTTTCAGTGTATCCCTTTGCCGATTCAGTTGCATCCGTAACGCAACCGAATCCTTCCCTGAGGGGAAATCATGATCCTCCTCCCTACATCACGCATATGATACTTTGCATCGCAGTCAACCTCTGTATTCACTGTGCTTGTATGCTGCACACAGCTGCGTGTTGTTTGTTTTGTGGCCATTCCCGAACAACTCGATCGCATGTCAGACTAGCTTACAATGCATCTTGTCAGATGACTGTTGAGCCCAAGTCTACCTAACAAATCGTATCGTGCAGCTCAGATCGATCGCGCTTTGGGAAGTGTCTTCTCGCGTTCGACGCTCAGTCAGTTACGAGTAACTTCACTGAAGCTACTTCCGCGAAAGATTGTAAGCGCGCCCTTCAAATTCACTTTGTACGACCTGTGCCCAGTGGTGATTATGTGTGACCGTGGTTAGGTTGTAGATGTGAATGCTTTACGTAGCGCTGCAATCACTTTCACGCCTATGTGAAATGTGCTATCTCCCCGTGTGTCCGCTCGCGCTGTCATGAGATAACCCAGGCAGCACGTTAGGTATAAAACAAGGGTGAGTTTGGCCGAACTGCCTGTCATCTGTTGCTGCGTGTATGGCCCCATCGGTCCGAATGATAGGTCAATCACCGGCATATGCGCTGCCATGCACGATACACCGTGCGGTTAAGGGATTAGCTGTATTTTGAATTTGCTAATTCGTATGTACTTACAAGGGGCGAGATATTAACTCGCGGCTTACGAAATTCGGACTGGCACAGCGCTTACACGATTGATGTATAGAACATGGCCAAATCAACTCAATTTTTGACAAAACAATCTCCCGTAGAGGAATATCCGCCTTGCCTAAGACACAATGTCTGCCATCACGCTCGACCAATTCTCCGCTAACAGCCACTCGAGTCCCGATGGCCTACACATATTAACCAAACAGATCGGCCAGGATTAGCATCCATACATTAGTATCGCATTTACACTGACTTTGTAAACCCTGCCATTTTACGAGAATGATGTCTCACAACGACGACACATGTTTTAAGTTGGCAAAAGCCGCGATTTACCGATACTCATACCTCCTATCCAATAGTGCGTCTGCAGAAATGCAGCTCCCTAGGTAGACAAAACTATCCACCTTTGATGGTGAGTTCAGAAAGGGTATCTTCCAATCGTGTAACAGCAGTTTGCACTTGTAGGTGGAAAAGTACATAGTGTGCTTTTACACTTCAACCGCTCGTCGCTCAAAGATCAATTACATACCATGCGAGTCTACACTGGGCCAGGCAGTTTCCTCAGCGCAATCGAGGTCGGTTGTACAATCGCCTTGAAAAGGAGTTCTATGCCGAGAACTCCGCAACCCTTCGAAAGCTCTTAACCGGATATCCTCGATCATAAAGTTGTAAAGTTACAGGGAAATTGGGCATCCTTATCGCGCACCATTGATAACAGGGAAGAGTGCAGAAACGTGCCATAGACTAGCATTCTACATGAGTATGGAAGCTTAGCGCCCGAAGAATAGCGAAGTACTTTTCGGGAACTCCATTCTTTAGTAGGCATTGTCACAAAGCTAGTCGGTCTGCTGTGTTGGACGCAGCCCGAATCTCTAGGAAGGCGGCGATGCTAGGTCTGTGATACGATTGTCAATGTTCGAGAAGCTGACGACGCGTGTATATTTGATCCAAACATCCCATGTCGGAGCAAGTACTACCCTGCTCCTCCAGGTAGTGTACCACACGAGTTGGGGACATCCTGCTGAGCATGGTGGATATTAGCTACCTGGCGACAAACGATCAAACTGATTCTTCTCTGATTAGCGCATTAAGTGCAACTGATTGACAATTGCTGTTCCACCGTACTTAAACAGTTCGGGGAAAATTCCTTCATGCATTCTCAAGGCACTCCCAAAGCGCTACAAGTGTTAAATATCAAGACAAACTTCGCTTTTGGTGGACGGTTCTAGTAACACTGCCCATTACATGCGAACTGGTGTATTATATGCAGAATTTTACGTCTAGGAGCAACTGAACTGAGGTTGGAAATGCTCAGTCCATACGTCCCTGCACCTTAGTGCTTTCTGACCCCTCCACTTCACTGATGATCTCACTAATAACAGTGGTCCGAATAAGCTGGAACAACATGGGAGTATTTCAAACGTGCGCGGTGGCCTCCTCCTTCAGGTCACTTTGTGACCACCAACATTTCTTTTCACCGCGAAGGCCTCGTTTGACTTGTCGGCTAACAGTTCGGCGAAGTTCATTGCGACCTGAATTTAATTAGGGAGTTCGGCGGCGGTCGAACGGTGCCACATGGCGCGCAGAGATCTATTTCGTCGACGGGTGGTACGTTGACTCACCTATTGTTGAACCCGAGTTTAACATTAGATGCTGGAAAAATCTCCAATGGTGTTCAGTGTCGGTGGGTGGGGCACAAGTTATGCTGTGTACTCTGGGGGCCAACCATTGTCCTCTGCAAGGTCGGTAACCTGCGTGGCACTGGAAGATGGGTCGCATTACATTCCAATCAGCCTGAAATTTGTGACGACTTGCCACTGCGCCTCACGGCTTAGTGGCATAAGATGCTGGTTAATAGCGCAAGCAGTTACGGTATCAGTTGCTGATGGCGCCGGAGGATGCGCACAGCTGACGAGCCTCAATAAGGCGAGCCGGCTGTGTGGTGCTTCTGCCTATTGGGGGTCAGATTATCACGCTTGTGATCTGCTGGGACGAACCGGTAAGATTTCATCAAAAATCCTCCTACTCTTCAGTAAACAGTCGAATGTGTTTGCTAATGACAGTTGATAGTTCAGCTGAGCCGACTGATCAGCTAGCCAGTTCATATCGAGCCTACAATGCTTCCGTTTCGCAGACCCTCCCTAATTCCATGCGGATGTTCACACATACCAACGCCTGCTCTGCTTCAACATATATATACTAAAGTAGTATACAACCCTGTATGCTACCCCGCCACCTGAAACTGGTTGCAATGTGTGAGGCAAGGTTGCATTCGCTGGACACAACCTAGGTGTGGAGCTACTTTCTGGTGAGCGACTTCTTGACGTAGTATGCGGACGATATTGCCCTAATCTGTGATAGCTCCCAAACATGCAAGCGGCACTGGATTGATTAGCACTGACTGTCTATCGTTTTGGGCTATGCTTTGCTCCATCGAAATGCAAAGTACTTCTCCAAGATTGGCAGGGAGCCATCCATGCGCCAACGCTTTGTGGTGATCAGCTAGAAGTCCTACAGAAATTCAAGTACCCGGGCAGCTATATTAGCGCCCGTGGGATCGAACATGAGATTACCAACCGTATAGCAAAAGCTCGAGGTGCTTTTGCTAATCTCCGCCACCTGTGGCACACACGCTACATTACTCTCGCCCGAGGAGCTGAGTGACAAGAATTTTGGGGGTTTAAATAAGCGACAATTAACTTGCTTATTTAATTTTATCATTAACGAATCGCGCTCAGTGGCAAGGTCAGCGTAGCGACTGATCATCGTCGTAACAAAAACAATGGTCAAAAAGCAAGGGAAATGAGATGGAGAAGAGGTCAATTTAGGAAGAATTGAAAAAAGTGACAAGTAGTGAGAAACGAAATGGCGAATATAGAATTAACACTGACCCAAGGACTGCATTACAGAAGTTATCAGCTTCCGACAATTTCTCGTCGGTTTTTATCCTAACAAAATTTTTTAAACAGGCGACCTCTTTGGTTGCACCGAAAGTACCGGACAGTCATCACAGACGATTGGGTCGCTCTTCAATTCAACCACCCAACACATCCCCTTTGGTACCTCCAGTCCCAATGGACGATGCTTGGCCTGTCTCCACAGCCCCTCCAAATGAAGCAGAGATCTGAGATGCAATCCAATCTTTGAAACTCCACATGGCTCCTGGTCCCGACAGCCTACCACCGGCTCTATTCAAAAATGGCGGGAGTTTACTTGTCAGCGACATCCTGTCGCTGTTCACAAAAGTTTGGACTGAGGAGAAGGTACCGAACTCATAGAGAGGATCGGTCTTTGTTCCGATTCACAAGAAAGGCTTCCGCGACAATTGCTGTAACTACCGCGGAATCTCGTTAATTTCTGTCGCATCCAAAATCTTTGTGTCGGTCCTACTTTGCAGGCTTTCAACGACTAGAGATGAGTTTTGCCCAGAAAAACAAACCGGATTTCGTCCAGGCCGCGGCTGCATCGACCAAATCTTCACGCTTCTTCAACTTCTCGAACTTCGTCACATCCACCGACGGCCAACCATCGTAGTGTTTTTGCACATTCAATCGGCATTTGATTCAGTAGATAGATCTGCGTTGTGAAACTGTTTACTGAAGAAAGGTGTGTCCGACAAGTTTGTAACCATCGTAAAAGAGCTTTACAGTCACACGTCGGGCAAAGTCAGGGCTTACGGCACGCCCTCTTCTTCGTTCGTCGGCCGGTAGCCGAGTGATATGCGCGTCTGGTTTGCAACCTCAAGGTCACCGGTTCGAATCCGCGTAGGGGCGGGCGTCCTCGCGGTATACTCAGCCCACGCGCGACTGGTGGTGGTCGTGTGGCAGTGAAGCGCCGTTACGGCGTACAGCTGGCGATTTATTATTTATTTTATTATTATTTCTCTTCTTCGTTTGGTTTGACCAGCGGTGTTCGCCAAGGTTGCCCTATTTCGGCCTTCCTCTTCAATTTTGCCATCGAAGATGTCGTCCAAAGTGCACTGGAAGTTGTCCAGAACTGCGATGTTGAGCTCCTCCTTGGAGACAGAGTCACGGACTTGGACTACGCCGATGATAACACCTTGCTGGGGGACGACCCACAAACCATCCAGAGTGTTTTGGACCGTTTAGCGATGGAGGCGTCTAAGTACGGCTTATGCTTCACTCCGGGAGAATGTAAAACGCTGCTCCAGGACTGGCAGGTGTCTGAACGCGCGCTCACCATTGCTGGACATGTTCTGCAGCAAGTGCCTTGCTTTACTTATCTACGGAGTCGCATCACGGTTGATGGCGGTGTTGGAGATTAGGTTTCACAACGGATTGCAAAGCTCCACCTTGCATTCATCAAACTGAGACATTTATGGCGTCGTCGTGATGTCAGTCTCAAGCTCAAGGGGAGGGTGCACAATGCTTCTGTCCGTGCCGTACGCTTGTACGGCGTTGAGACGGCCTATTCGCATGGAAGACATGAAGCGGTTGTCAGTCTTCGACAATCTCTGTCTACGAAGGATTGCTCGGGTGTGGTGGTAAAACCACGTAAGCAATGCAGTGATCCAAGACCGAGTGCTTAGAGCGAGTAATTCCAGTCTTCAGGACCTTATTCTCCGACATCGCATGCGTTGGCTCGGGCACGTTTTGCGTATGCCAACCCATTGCTTTCCTCGTTGAGCGCTATTTGCACTCCCAGTGAGCGATCGGTAAAAGTGCCGCGGTGAATAGCCAATGACGTGGAGAATGAGCATGAATAAGGCATCCTCAAGTTTGGCTGCATTCGGACCAGTCCGTCTTCCAGGTTGGGGACCACGAGATGCTGAATCTCAGTGGTTGGAAACATTGGATGTCATGGCCCGCAGCGGACATCGGTGGCGTCAATGTTGTTCTGCCATTTTATCCCCCCTTTAATGCATGCAAAAAACTCACGAAACAAAAACAAAAAAATCAAAATGGCTTGTGTAAAACCCAAAAAATCGTTTTCTTTTTTATCGCAGTTCGTGTTTCTATCTTCTCTACTTTTTCTTCTGCCATGGTTCTAATGCCACAATGTCTGTTAACAGAATATATATATATATATATATATATATATATATATATATATATATATATATATATATATATATCGGCAAAACTCTTAAAAGATAACCGCTTGTGGATCACACTCTAGATCTCCATTAAACTCAGTTAATTGCTGTCATTTCGGTAAGCACAGTGGCATTAACTGACTTTTGTACACTGTATCCTTGTCCTTTCTTTTCGCTGCCTTGTTGGATGCTATTATAGCAACTGTCTTGCCATTCACTGAATTGTTTCTCTTTTTGGCACCAGTCCACCAATATTCCCTGGCCTCGTTGCACGCGATCAAATAATCATCTACTAGCCTTGGTAGCTGGTTTGATTTACTATAAAATGGCTCTTCTCCGCAATCTTTATGTCATGAATACGGCGCATCTGTATTTCTTCGATCTCTGAGAGATCGACCTTTGGTCTGCTTGTGGTGAAAAATGCGAGGCAAAACCAAACCTTAGTGGAGAGAACTGGCGCCTATAAGCATATGTGTTATACAACAATCAACTTAGGCTCACATGTATTTATCTACCATGAATGCGCACTAAAAGATCAACACTCCAATGGTCCACATATCATCCTTCTTAGCTTTCTGAATATGAAATAGCGGTAGTGTCCGACCTCATGCCTCTCTTTTTACGCAGGTTGTACACCCGCATTCTCTATTTTTGATCCAAGAGGTGTGAAGGACCATCTGGTCAAGGTGGATCGGTTTGGATACCTGAGTATCCGTTGCATTTTGTGCGGTCGACTCAATTTTGGTATCCGTATGATGATGTTGTACCGGATGAGGCAGAGAATTGGAGTCGTAACCGAACGATTGTATGGACACAGTGGCATCACGGAACAACGGTTTCACTTTAAGAGGTCATGTATATGAACCTACGGTCGATTCAGCCTATCAGAAGCAAGGCTACGCCTGGTCCAATGAATGTTAACTGTTTGCAAGGTATGGCAACAAATCAATAGTTTGTTTGCATCAACACATCTAAGTGAACCGCAGGGAGAGTGGGCACAACATTGTTTCCTGCTCTGGTTGAAGGAGTATAGACAAATCATGTCAATGTGCCGGAAATTGTGGACGACAACAGTATTTAGCGCATTGCTCATTAATGCATAACAGTGTACAAAATGGCGCATCCGGTCAGATCGTCTCAACTTTCAATTTGTTTGTCATACACTGTGCCGCGGAAGTGTTCGCCTGTTTAGACATTTGTGGAAGAGTTGTGTGCAACCGCGTTGCATTCACTGTTGTTCTATTTGTCAGCTTGTAGGTCTCTGGCGTGTGAACTGATTCTAATCGGATCGATGGCCCGGTTGTTCTACCTTCCTTCCGAGAAAAGCGTAGCCCCACATCAACGAGTGTCCCTGTGGGGTAGGTTTTCCGTATTCATCTGCATTTAGCTTGTTATTTGACTCACCTTCCTTCTTCTTCTTGGCCAGCGATTTCTTCATATATGATGCCTGCATTTAACCGAGTTCGGATTGTTCTCCCCAGCATTAATTCGGACGGGGTTTCCGTCGTTGCAGTGTGGGTATGGTTTTATACACTTCTAAAGCAGACACCATCTCATCGTCCAAAGATTTGCCCGAAAGCAGAACTTGCAAACACTTTCATAGTAGGTTTAAGACGCACAACTGGACCATTAGCGACAGAATTGTACGGACTCCTTGAGTATCGGATCCCATTGCGCCTCAAGTATTTGGCTTAATCTTCTTCGAAATTGAGGCCCATTATCAGTCGCTATTTCTTCTGACAACCCAAACCTAGTGAAAAAGCAACCGAACCATTTATAATGACAGATGTAATGACATCCCCGTTTGCTGTAGAAACGGATAGCAACTAGCACATTTCGTTTCGATGGAGGTGCATTTGCGAGTAGGCCCATTGTAGCAATGGCGATTTTTGCCTGTGGCATCACTTGGTACTCGATAAATTGGATTAGCGCATCCAGCGACCTTGCCCTTTTATCAAATTACTGGCATGCGTAGTGTCATGGAGAGTAAAATCTCTTAGGAATACTCATTAATTCATTTGGAAAGCAAGTTGAGTCAATGGTGTGCAGGCGAAACATAAGTAGTTTCAAGACTGTTTACTTCAGGAACGCTGACCATGCGACACACGTACCTACCTCCCCATTGGCTAAGCTATATATATATATATATATATATATATATATATATATATATATATATATATATATATATATATATATATATATATATATATATATACAGCACGGCCAATAATACAATTGGTATAGTGCCAAAACGTATAGAAAATACAATAAACATGCGAAGATAGAGGGGAAAAGAAACACGATGTTCATGGGAATAGTGAGTCACAACTTATCCGCTATTAAGCATGATTTTCTGCCATATCCAAGAGCGTTTCCATCCATGTGTGTTCCGGATCCTTCAGACCCCAGCCAGGGAGCTGAGAGCGCTCGACCACAGCTAACTTTGACGTTAGCTCCTTCATGCTCTTGGCCCAGCTTATACGTTGGCCACCTTGCTTTGCTTCTGGCCGACATCTGCGTGTGCGAAGAGGGCATGTCGAGGTAAGCGATTAGTAGGCATGCGGAGAACGTGCCCAAGCCACTGAGGTATACGTAGAGAAATTCTACTGCTCAGTAGCCGACAAAGTCTGTCTGATCTGAAAATCCCTCACCGAATATTTTCACTTTAGTATGATGTTGCTGCCATCGTACACTAGCAATGCTCCGAAGGCAGCGGTGATCAAAAACAGACAGCCTCTCAACATCCTTTGCGCGAACAGGCCAAGTCTCGCGGCCATAGAGTAGAACCGCTCCCACTGTGGCATTGTAAACTCGGCCCTTCAGAGCTATACTCAGATCACTTCGACGCCAGAAATGGCGGCGAGTGGCAAAAGCAACCCAAGGCTTGGAGAAGCGCAAGGAGACTTCATCCGTTAAACCATAAGCACTGAGGCAGCTTCTGAGGTAAACGAACTTGTCCACCACTTCCAGTGAATGACCTAGAAGGGTCAGGTCAGGAGCAGCGCCTAAGCGATCCTGCAGGAAAACCTTGCATTTCGGTGTTGCGAAGGTTATTCCAAACGGGGAGACAGACATCTCCAATCTACACAGGACATTTTGGGCGGCCTGTGAGGAGGTGCAGATTACGGCGATGTCGTCTGTATACTCCAACTCCCGAAGTCCGTCTCCCAGAAGCAGCTCTACCCCGCTGGGTTCGCCGTTCTCCAGAGCACTCTCCAAGATTTCGTCTATTGTGAAATTGTACAACAAGGATGCTGAGCAACTCTGTTTCACGCCTCTGGTGATACTAAAGGGCGGCGAAAGTCCGCCGTACACCCGCACTCTGCCCAAAGTTTGAAAGTAGACGGTTTGAAGTAAAGTGACATAATTATCGGGCACTCCCCTTCTCAGTAGACAACACCAGAGATCAGCTCTGTCGACTGAGTCAAACACGGCTCGTATGTATAAGAAGACAACGATCGTTGGCTGGCCAAATGTTTGACGACACTCGAGTTTTTGGCGGAGTGTAAAAATGTGATCGATGCAACTCCGACCTGAGCGGAACCCAGCTTGCTCTTCACGTATTCTCTTTTCGCGTCCCAGTCTTAGCCTCCTTAGAAGCAGAGCTGTGAATACCTTGGAAGCAATACAGATGAGACCAATCCCTCTGTGGTTGGCGAAGTCAGTTCGGGTACCCTTTTTGAAGACGGGCACGATATCCGCTCGGCTGCAATCAGATGGGATAACTTCAGTGACCCAGATCTCTTGGAGGAGAGAAGTTAACTCCTGAACAAGTGATGGGCCGCCATCTTTGTAAAAAGCCGGAGGAAGTTTATCTGTTCCAGGGGCTTTGTAGCGCTTTAACAGACGGTACTCCGGGGCAACCTCAGCCTGGGATGGTGGTGAAGCGTCTACACACCAGGGAGTTCGCTGGGCTTCATAATGAGAACTCATTGGTGCTACTTGGCCAGTTACCATCGTAATGATGCTGGACCTTACCGTGTTGCGATGGTTTGTATGCCTCCGCGATCCATTGAGCTATGCTGGATGGTACTTTTTTTGCACCTTCAGAGCCACTCATACCAGATTGGTCAATGGTTAGAGGCCAGACAAACTCAGCCTCCTGGTCCTCCAGGTTGGAGGGCTGGAATGAGGTGTCTCCTTATTCCTTAAAACGGACTCCTTGTAGCCCAACGCCAAACCCGCTGCTTTGCGGTCAGCTTTTGAACCAAAGGCTTTGGTTGAGATCCCTAATCGTTCTCCTGTCTATGCCTGGCAACCTGACAGTATCCTGCCCATGCAATACAATGAATTTCTCTTCTTTCTTTCTTTCTTGATGCACTGGCCACCGCAGAGGATAATCAACGGTGTCGTATCTGCTGCATCGAGCAGGGTGGATAGGGGTTTTGATGCTACTGCTCAAACCTACTCATTTTCTTATTTCCCCTCTTGCGCTTTTTCTCTCTCACCGTCCCGCTCCAGCTTCACTTTTATCCCCCTGTTTTTAACTTCCCATTTCTTGGTCCTCCCTCACCTTTCTTCAATAATCGCTTGTCTTCTAGTTTCAACTCACATGTGAGCGCGAAGCGTCATTCCTGTCCTGTCGACAAGCCCATGCCCAACCAAGCGGCCAAGCCCAGTTCACCGGCTTCCATTTGGAGCCCTCGATCCTCCTTCAGATTGGCATGCCTCAATGTATGCACATTGGTACAGATCGGTCAACAGGCAGCACTTGCCCGAACCGTAGAGACTTTCTCGACCGATATCTGCTGTTTGTCGGAGACCCGCCTGCAAGACTCGAGCTCTGTGCTCACTCTGCGATCCCCTTCAGGTGACACCAACAGCACTTTCTCATTGCGCCTATGCGGTGACGATGCAGCTTCGAGCACCGGCCAAGCCGGTATTGGTGTCACCCTCAGTCCCCGGGCTGAAGCGGCTCTGCTTGACTGGATTTCAATCAGTAACCGGATGTGTGCGGTCCGATTGGCTGGCTCGTTCAAGGCTTCGAAGTCGCGCGGGACTAATAGATGTCTATTCGCCATCGCTGCCTATGCACCCACAAACTCTAGCGACGATTCAGTAAAAGGCGACTTCTATCGCCAATTGAACGAGCTCCTTCGCCATAGAAGTAACTCGGATACTGTAGTGCTGGCTGGTGACCTGAACGCTCAAGTTTGAAAATTATCCACTGATGAACTACATCTGGGCGGCCAACATGGTGTAGGCTCCCGTAATGATAACGGTGAGCGGTTACTTCATTTGTGTGAAGATGCTCGCTTATTTCTTGCGAGCACTAATTTCCGACACAGCACCCGCCGGAGGGTGACTTGGCGCCCACCAACCTCGAACCAGCTATGGACGCAAATCGATCACACTGCGATAAGTTACCGATGGGGAGGCTGCGTCCAAAACTGTCGCTCGATTTGGAGCACAGGTGTGGACACCGACCATGCACTTGTATGTGCTGACCTGCGGAGGCGTTTTGGCTGACGCCCACGACGACGTTGTGAGCGCATTGACACCAGCTAACCGGCGAAACCAGCTATTCTAAATGCCTATCAAAGTACGCTGTCATGCGAGTTGAGTAGGCGCTCACTGGATGCAGTTGAAGCTCACTTGTCTCATATTCACCAGTCCTTACTAGCAGCAGGAAAATTCTCATGTGCTAAATCTAATCGTCTACATCGACATTGGGTCTCTTCGCAGTCTCTTGAACTTCTCGATGCTCGCCGGCATATTCCGGCTGGAAGCGAACACAATGAAACTCGCAAAGAGCTCCGGGCAAAACTCCGTGCTAGCCTGAAGAGATACCGCGTGTCCTGGTGGTCTCATCATGCATCAGAGATGGAAATGGCTGCTGCCCTTGGTAACAATCGTAAGTTATTCCGTTTGATACTGGAAACGGGCAGCAGAAGACCTGGTGTTAGTGAAATTATACGTGACGACAGTGGACAGCCTATCCACAACTTGTCAAAACGCTTGTAACGTTGGGCTGAGCACTTTGGAAGGCAATTTAATTGGTCAGAATGGTTAGATTTCTCGCCGACTAGTGATCGCCCTGCTCCGTGGAATGTCCCTTCGGATCCACCCTTTGGCTCAGAAGTCGAACATGAGATCAAACTGTTGAAGTTAAATAAAGCCGCGGGACCAGATGATCTACCTCCAGCCCTCTTCAAATTCGGGGGACCTGCTCTTGTGGATGATTTATACGAGTTACTAGTGAAATTGTGGGAGCAGGAAACTGTTCCAACCGACTGGAGCCGCTCTGTCATAGTCCCAATTTTCAAGGGAGGCTCACGACCGGAATGCGGCAGCCATAGAGGAATCAGTCTGATCTCCATCGCCTCCAAACTGCTTGCCTCTGTCATCCTTCACA